CTGTTAGCTTAGCAGCGACTGTCACTTGGGCTTTTAATTTATTAGGGTAGGACAAGAGATGATTCTGGCATGGGGTTTTGAGATGGAGAGAGAGACTGAGAGGGAGATGACTGAGCTTCCTTCTTCTTAAACCAATAAAAATAAAATAAAAAGTCTGAAGATGATGCCACTGCCCTTCTTCTGCTACTACTGCAGTCTTGTGATGTTAACAACAAATTGTAAAGTAAAACCGAATGAATAAGCCAGTCGCACTCTATCTTCTTCCTCTGCTACTTGTTTCTTCCTGGGAGTGCCTTTCCTTTCTCTCTCTCCCCCTCCAACAATCACACAACAATGAAAGGTGAGAGAAAGTAACAACACGGTATAAAGACTTTTGTTCTCCTCTCCTCTTTCCCTAATTTTATCCCTCTTTTTCCACTCCACTTTTCTGGCTTACTTCTCGACACCATACCATTTATTTTATTATACAAATAGCATAACATTAAAAAATATTAATTATATAAAGCCATTATATTACAGTCACCGAGTTCAAAACAGAATATTTAGTGATAAATATAAGGGGAGTTGATAAACATGGTACACATATTCAATATTTCAAATAGCATTTCTAATTATTTTAATAAAAACTTATATAAATATAATAAAAATTTTAAAAAAAACACTATTATAATTTTTATAATGTAATTTCTGATTATTTTTGAAATATTTTAACATATATATTATTCTAGATAAAATATTTTCCATCTACAATATGAATATGATGTAATCTAATACCAATGGAGATGTGTTATAATATACAAATCTCATATTCATATATCATCGCAAACTCATTGAAGACTTGTAAATAAATTATTCTTTTCTCATTTGAAAAACGCACAGCTCACTGTCCACCGTCCTCCCCTATCACACCTCATATCCTCATTCTTTCATTTTCCATCCATTTTATCCTTCCCCTTATTCCCTTCCTTTTTATGTAAACTTTGACTCTTCACGCTTCTCTTCTCTACCTCCATATAAAGATATAAAACTGTCATCGATCAATCGTCACCTAATTACCGATTACGACTTTCCACTTAAATTAAAAGGAATAAGTCACTTACCATCAATATTATTCATAATTATAATCTTTGATTGACTTTAATATTATTATAGAGCTCTCAAAACACAAAAATACATGTTAATTTTATCAACTTAATCTTATCTTGTCGAAACTCAAGATCATACGATCAACTTCAAATATAATTCCTGCTAAGAAGGATAGAAACAATTTAACTTATGACTAAATGAATCTTACACATTCTGGATCATAATGTTATGAATTTAAGTTCTATTGTGGGTAACATGATGTGTGAAAGTTGATTTTAATGAATAGATGTATTTATAGTAATTGTAATCCTACTTGGAAATTGTAACTAAAATATTATAAAAAGATAATATTATTTTGGTATAAATAATAAAAATCTTTAACTGTGAAAAAAAATCATGTCAGGTATAGATATAAATAACGTAGGGCCATAATAATGAGAGAGAAAACACATTGAAAAATTTCATTTAATTGAATTTTATATATTACGTATAATATAAAATTTTAATATATGAACTGTGAAATAAAAATATTCATCAATCTAATAATCTATTTAAAAAATTTAATACATTTGTTACTTGAAATGAATGGGATGATTTATTCTAACACAATGTCTAAGTCAAACATTTAATTTCGACCACGAACACTTTAGATTTGTTTTGTGTCTGCCAAGCAATGGGTGAAAAACAGGGTACCCCATTTGTACAGTGCATATTTGGTTGGAAAATTTTCTTCCTTCTCTCTATACTTTTTTTTGAAATATTTGTTTTATTAAAAAAACTTAAAAAGTAATTTTTTTTAGTTAATTGAGTGTTAATTAGTAAATTTCACAAAAATTCAGATAAATTAATTTATTAGTTTACTGCATCATTCTATGTATTTACTCTTTCCTTTTACTACTTGGGATCAACAAGCACACCTAAACATTGGAGTTCATGCATCTATGGATGAGCAAGCAAAAGACAATTTTACAGGCTTAATATTCCTACAAAGTCAGAATTTTAATTGTAAAGAAGAGCAGCACGTGATAAACAAGCCAGACTATACCTGTTGTTGTTGATACGGTGTATATAATCAAATAATTAATAGATCAGCAATTGATTTATCTAAGTAAGTTGTTAATGCTGTTTCGAAATGACAGAAAGTTTAATGTGTCTGTGTCGCCCCTGACCTCACGTGCAAAACAGGTTAGGCATGTCCCCCAAATCCCACTAGTAATTATTAATTAATCACCGACCACCTCAATTTATGTTGTATCCACGTTGCTTCTGTTAATTAGCTGCTAATTTCACGTCTTTATACAACACCCGATTACCCTTGTTCATGCACCTTAACTCTTCGCTCTTAACTTACGAAATTGTTTTTATTACAAATGATGACTTGTTTTTACCGGTGATTCATTGAGCTATTATTCAATGATGCATTGTATGAACATTTGTTGGCAATTGTTTTTATTGGTAAACTTATTTAGATATTGTATACAAGAAAGGAATAGTGTACGGCGCACTCGTATACCGCAATTAGAGATGAACATAGGTTGGATTTGAGTCGGGTTTCGATTAACCTGATACGATCCAACTCAAAAAATATATACCATTCACCCGACTCGAATTTAACCAGATTTTTTGAGATAAAATTCGAATCCGATCCGGCCCGATTAGAAATATTAAAAAAATATTTTTATTTAATAAAAATAATAATTTAATTAGAAAAAATAATATATAGAAGGATATTATTGTAATTATTCTTAAATATATAAGGTAAAATTATATTTATTTCGGGTCGGATTGGTATTTTTCACCCTAAACTCGAGTCTGACCCGACCATAACATCACCTTTAAAAAACCCGACCTGAATCCAATTTTTTTATTAAAAAAAAGGACTTGATCGGGTCGGTTAGGTCAAAACCCATTAGGTTCGAGTCTCATACCCATCCCTAACCGCAATGTACCACTAAAGCGATATATCGAATTGTACCACAAGTAAATTTCTACTTATTATGTAAATATTAAAAAGTATAATAATTTATTTAAAATTAATCACTTATTAAATTTTAATTTTAATAAAATTATAATTTTTTATTAAAAATAATGATTAATTTAAATAATTTAATTTAATTAGAAGTAGGAATTTTAAATTATATAAGTTAAAACCACGTCATAATCAGTGACCGCCGATGAACTCTTGACTTGCCGGAACACAAATTGCCTCAACATCTAGCGCTACCGCTGTCGTCCCAGTTCAGCGTCGTCCGTCCGAAAAAGAAGCTCTGCCGTTTGCGTTGGCCATCGTCTTTGTTTTTCCGTCATCTTATTTATTTATTTATTTTTTACTCCGCTGACCTTCGAAACATCATCTCCGACCGTCGGTCAGCCTAGCCAGGCCGACCATGACCGTCGTTCTTCTTGGTTCCCAACGGCCGCCGTGTGAAGGCCATCTCACAGTTTACTCTGGTCGTCTCTTCCAGTTTGCACGTTCAGGTAAGTTTTTATTTGTTAATGGTAAAATTACATTACAACCCCCATATTTATTTTTTTAGATGGTTAAATTGTATGAAAACCCCCATAGTTTTCTCCATTTATAGTTTCGTCTTTTTTTTTATTATACTCGGTTAAATCCGAGGAGATATTGGAGGGGGTGGCAAGGCTTCGAGTTTCGAATGATATTGAATTCGAAGAGCAGACTTCTGTTGCAATGATGAAGAGGTCAGTTCATTATGTTCCTATAATCCCATTTCGGTTCAAATTCATCTCATGCTTGTTTGTGTTTCCATTTTTATGGTGTTCATGGGAGTTTTTGATGCTCATTTTAGCTTATTTCAAATGTATGTCCTGTTAATGATTTACTTGCTACAGAGAAGATCGAAGTTGAATGCTGGTGCCCCAAATCTTCCCATGGGAGGTTCGATCTGAAAAGGCTCTTGATGCGATTTACGACTGTTGCTTCGGGAGAGATCCGATCGAAGAGGAAGACAATAGGTTGCTTAATATCATTCTAAGAGCAGTTTTCCCAACCGTTGAGCAATTAACGATTCAAAAACTCATCAAGGACAAGGCAATCAAAGTAGCAGAAGGCGGTGATGATGCATACATAAGACATTGTTCCGGAACCAAAGCCACTGTCAAAGGAAGTTGTACAAATGCAAATGAAATACCTTGAATTCCCTAAACAAAACAAGGAGACATGAAACTAATGATCTTAATGACAAAAGTTGCCTGTTCTTTTCTTCGAACAGCACTTGGATTGTAAGAAAATGGCTCAACGATATTGAAATCACCGAACACTTCCCTTCAGAAATAGATCCTCCATGTTCAGATTGTTCCCGACAACAGATGAATCATGGGGTTTACACACAGCCTTCCGTTTTCCCATTTTCTCTGTTTATGCATCTTGGTTGTTTCTTGTAGTTTCAACAACTATGTTTTTTGACAGTATAGCTTGTTTGGTGGATGGCATGTCTTTGTCTCGAACGTTCTTAATCCTTCTGCACTTCTGAAACATAATTTGCCTTCTGTAAATAAGAAATTACAGGACTCAACACAAATATTTTGATGTTTACAAGGACAAGTTGTGTTATGAACTCATGAAAGTATTAAAAGTTTCAACAATTTAAAGCACGAAAGTAAAAGTTCCAAATTTTAAGGCTTGAAGAGGAAAAAGCGAATAACTTTAATACTCCCTAATATTGCCGTTAGTCTAAACCAGTCAGCTAAAAGATGGTTCCCTCTCCGCATCCCTTTCCTCCCCATTTTCTCGCTCACCAAACAGAACCACAAAGCTCCCTCGCCTCTCTCTCGCTTCCACTTCAAAGCCTTCTTCTCTCTTTCCAACCAATACTCTCTCCCTTCTCTCCGCAGTCTCGGTTTCATTCAATCCAAAAACAGTAACTCCAGTAATAAATGCATCATTTCTTCAGTTTTCGATTCCTTCCTTGTTCTCTGCACTTCACGCGCCCTCTCTTTCTCGTTGTTTGTAACCGATGTGGGAGCAGCCTCAGCCTTTGTGGTAACCCCACCTCGGAAGTTACAGTCCGATGAGTTGGTTACAGACGAGGTTAGAAGTCTAAAATATAAACAGGGAAAGTGTGGGGGTTTACATGCAATTTAACCATCTAAATTAAAACAAAAACATGAGAGGATTCATGTGATTTAATTCCAAGTATAATAAAACAGACGAAACTATAAATGAAGGAAATATGGGGTTTCATGCAATTTAACCAACATAAGGGTAAACTACGTCAATGGTCACTAATGTTTGGATAAATTTTCGTTTTGACCACTAATGTTTCAAAAATTACAAATCTGTCACTAATATTATCGTTTGTGATAAATTAGTCACTCACCGTTAACAGCCGTCAAGAGGCGTTACGAAAAACACACGTGTACCGTTAACTGCTTACCTGGATGGTTTGACCGTCACAATGGAGAACCTTACTTCTCCCTATGACCGGTGCTTTACCAAAAAATTTAAAAAATAATTAAACAATTGGGTAAATTTCATGAATGAAACTATAGCCCCCGTTACCACAATTTTACCCAAATCTTCTTCTTCTTCTTCTTCTTCGTCAGTTCTAATGGAAACCCAATCTTCCTCTTTCTCTAATGTACAATCATACCTCCATGGCTTGGCCTATACCCCTCATCGCTTTGCTCGTTGTGCACCCTTTGTTTCTTCCTCCTACGAAGAACTCAGCCAGATAAAGGCTCGTTCCAACTCCGACATGTGAAAAACCCTCTGTTGGTTCGATTTAGTTGGCCTGGAAATCAGAGGTATGGTCGGAGCCGTTGTGTTCATCACCACCGGCAGAGTTACTCACCTCTACACCAACCCTGTTGTTGTTACCTCTTACGCCATTACCGGACTCTGCGCCCTCCTCTTCGCCTTCTGCTACACCGAGTTCGCCGGTGATATAAGCTTAGCGATGCTCACTAAATGTAGCTGGAGGATGCTAAATCAACATGATACACAGTGGCAGAAAATCTTTAAAGAGAAATACTTGAAACAGAAAGTTTTCATGGAAACCAATATTCAGGCCAATAGTTCTTCTACATGGAATGGAATTCTCTATACTCAAAGGATTATTGAAAAAGGATGCATATATCAACTGGGTTCAAGTAAAACCACAAGATTTATGCAAGATTGGTGGGTAGGACACAAACCCATCATTAAAGATCATCCAAATCTGGTTCTATAAAACAGTAATGTTAAAGTGGTGCATTACTTATCAGACAACAATTCATGGAACCTACAGGAACTACACAATGTCTTAAGTGAATCAACTATAAACCAGATTAAGAGTATATAGATAAGAACCGCAGAAGGAAACCATGAAACATACAAACCTTTATGGGCAAATTTGAAAGATGGAAGATTCTCAGTTGGCACGGTTTATAAGACCATTATGGATTTCTCAAACACGGAAGACCAGGCAAAGCATGTCAATTGGATCTGGAAGATGGAAACAACTGAGCGTATTAGATGTTTTATGTGGTTGTGCCTTTTAAACAAGATTAACACTAATGAAATCAGAGCCAAGAAAAATTTGACATAAGATGCAAACTGTATAAAATGTCAAAATACCTTGGAAACAATCGAACATGTGCTGAGATTTTGTCCTACAACAGTGACAGTTTGGGAGAAGAATCAAGTTAGAATTTACAATCATCAGTATAATGAAGCTTCATTCCTTGAATGGATGAAAGAAAACAGTAAGTCAAAGAAAATCTCCTTCGAAGGAATAGACTAGGGAACGATCTTTATGACCACCATTTGGCATGGAAGAACAGAAATACCTTAGTCTTCAGAAATAAGGAAGAGGATATTAATATGGTGATGAAGTACAACCTCTCTTTTGCAAAAGATATCAAACTAGCCAAAGAATCTAAAGCTAGGAATAACATAATAGAGCCTCTCTAGATTAATTGGAGAAAATCGCCTTTGGGTACCTGGATTCTCAACACCCACACTGATTTAGGGAAATCGACAACAGTTGAGTTAATTAGGGATGTGAACGGAGAATGGATTGGAGGATTTATGATAAAATTGGAAGAATCAACCTGCGAAAATGCTGAACTTTGGGGGGATTATGCAAAGGATCCAATTAGCAAAACGTTTGGGTATCATCAAACTCATCGTGGAGGTAGATGCGAAGTGGGTAGTGGAAGAATTTGAAGAACAAACTGGTTTTGCCAACTATGACAGGTGTTTTTACCAACTACTTTGATGGGTGGCGAACCTTGCAGAACTGCTTTTTATGGGTGGCGAGGGTGATTGGAGTGGGGGCGAGCTTCGGGATAGTTCTTATTGGTGGCGATGCTGGGACAGCCTCTGTACATGTGGCGGTTAAACTATCCAGGTAAGCATTTAATGGTACACGTGTGTTTTACGTGTCGCCTCTTAACAGCTGTTAGCGGCGGATTAATTTATCACAAATGATAATGTTAGTGATCAATTGTAACTTTTAAAACATTAATGGTGAAAACGAAAACATACACAAATATCAGTGATTATTGGTGTAGTTTACCCAAAACATAAATATGGAGGGTTGTAATATAATTTTACTTACTATTAACAAAATAAAAACTTAACTGAACGTGCAAAATGGAAGAGACAACCGGAGTAAACTGTAAGATAGCCTTCATGGGGCGGCGGTTGGGAACGAAGGAGAACAGCGGTCGTGGTCGGTCTAGCTAGGTCGGCCGACAGTCGGGGATGATGTTTCGAAGGTCATCGAAGTAAAAAAAAACAAGCTGACGGAAAACCAAAAGACGGCGGCCGATGCAAACGACTGAGTTTCTCCTTCGGACGGACGACATCGGACAACATCAAACTGAGCGACAGCGAACTGGGACGGCAACGATGGCGCTAGATGTTGAGGCAATTTATTTTCAATTTGAACACGATTTTAGGATTCAAACTTGATATTATGATGATGGTTTTAACTTATATAATTTAAAATTCGTAATTATAATCAAATTAAATTAATTAAACTAATCATTAATTTTAATAAAAAAATATAATTTAATTATAATTCTATTAAAATTAAAACTCAATAAGTGATTAGTTTTAAATAAATCCTTATATTTTTTAATTTTTACATAATAAAGACAAATTTGTTTGTGGTACGATTCGATACGTCGTTTAGTAGTACGTTGCGGTACGTGACGTACGTTGTAGAATTATCCATACAAGAAATATTTTTTTTACAAATAGTGTTAGAATTATGATAAATATTTTTATAATAATATTTTAAAAAATAATAAAACATTCATTATCATCGTAATCTTGCTTGTATATATATATATTTTTGCATGACTAAATGCAACTAAAATTAATCCTTGCATATATGTGAAAGGGTTCGTTTCAAACCGAACTCGAAAGTGTAATATTGATGATGGGCTAACAAAAAAATGTAGTAGCAAAGAACCCATTCCAGGCTACGTAACGTAGTAGGTCGGTCTTGGGCTATTCCCTTCAGGCTTGGAAATTAGGAAGGGCTTTTTCTTATTAAGTAATTTTAACGTGAAATTTATATCATCTAAATAAAAGAATAAATGAATTTTCTGATATGGTAAGACTTTTTATTAAATGTATTAGATAATTATTTGATACTTGACGATAGAGCTTTTAAATATGAATTAGGACGTGTGTGTTTTTAATATATTCTGTGAAAATTAATCGCGTTGAGTTTAATAGAATTGAAAAATTAAGAAACTTAATTGTAAATATTTAATATTATTGTATTTTTAAAATTGAAACATTGATAAAACTATAACAATTCGAACCAATGATTTGAGAAAGTGTCAAATTTAAAAACATATTTTTTAAAAATATATTATATAATTATTTGATATATTAATAATAAGAAAATATACTTGCGAACTGTCCTAATTTATACAATTATGATTTTGAGAAATTCAAGTGTCCCCTAAATGAAATTGTCAACATGGACCGCATTGTATTTAAGAGTTTGATCCCTTTTTCGAGTAGTATTTGTGCTTGGCGGAGACGTACAAGGATTTCTTCAACATTTTCTTTTTCGAGTAGTATTTAAATATAATTTTTTACAATCTAAAACATCGGATTTAATTTAGATGAATATTCAACTGAAAAATCATTTTTAAAATATATTTATATTAGTATAGATATAAGTTTTTCTATGGATTAACATAGCTCTATATAGGCTGTGTACGGTAGTTCTGTTGTACGACAATCTAATATACTGTTTAAGGAAAGATGCTACTGGAAATAATTTTTTTTAACATTTCTGATAAAGCGCTATCTAAAACATTATTTTTTCCACTAGAAATGTTAATTTCGCTACCCAATTTATAGTAGAAAAAATAACATTTTATGTAACGCCCAATATTAATATTTCCGGTAAAAAAAATAATGTTTTAAGTAGCACTTTATCGCAAACAGGGTATCAAATAGCGTTCCGAAAACGCTATAGCGACCGCGATATTGCGATCGCGCCACCGTCCGAAACCGTTATCATGGTTTTTACTGTAGGTCACGGATTCACATAGATCGCGGTCGATTGCGCCCGTAATTTAACGAGAAATGGATGATTGCACTGATAACGGGACTCAATCACCGTTATTCAACCGTGATTTGTCATATCTTCAGAAAAACTCACTGTTGATCTCAACGGAGATTTGCCTCTCCAAGTTCTCCTTGAAGAACCATCGTTTTCACGTTCTTCTGCAAAGTTCAATTTCCGATTCCGCAACAAAGATATCTCGTTGTCCGGTAAATCGATCGACACCAAGATGATAGTCAATCGCGAGGTAACTGCAAGCTTGCAAGACGACTAGATTCACTGTTGACGAACTTTGACGTGATCGATGGCGTGGTTATGGAAGAAGAGAAGCAACACACAAAACTTAAAGGAATAAAAAAAAGAGTGAAACAACATTCACTCTTGGAGAAATAGGGTTAGAATTCTTGATATAATAAAAATGGGTAATTCACATAATAAGTCCATGTATTCTCTAGGATTTTTTAAAAATGGCCAACACTTTTGCTTCTTTTACAAAATAGTCGCCAAAATTTCTTGAAGTTTCAATTTATTGACTTGATATGCAGCTTTGTTTTACCTCGATTCACTACAGTACTGCACTATCGGTCATGAGATCGTCGCATGCAGAAGTCGCGATAGATAACCCCAACTACGTGAAAATGTTCTGGAGTTGCCGATTCTAGTGTTTTTGTTATACTTATATTTAGGATTCTACCTTTATATTTTAATTTAATACAGTTTAATTCATCTATTTTATAATAAGTAAGTTCAAATAGTTAATATATTTCATTATTCAAATTAAAATGTTTACTTCATTTTTTCGCTTAGAAAACATTTTAAAGTCTATTTGGTTAAACTATATTATATATATATATATATATGTCAATTTCGCTTAGAAAATATTTTAAAAATCATTAAAAATTATTTCTTATAATTATAATTATTTTTATTATGTTTTAAGATAAATTGTACAAAATTAAAAAAAAAATCACGATCGCGATGGCATCTATTATGTCCGTAACCGCGATAAACGCGACACGATAAAAACGTGACCGCGAACGCTATTTAAAACCCAGACATCAAATGTTAAAAAAAATATTAATGTTTATTTTGAGAGAGTTCAAAAGGTCTCATATCATAGCCGCAATCCCTGGAACCTTGTTTTTGTGCATGGTATGTTTCACAGAAGCATTGGTTGGCTGATAACATTCTGGATCTTTCTTTCTGCGTTCAGGTTTGGCTGAATACCCTATTGTGTTGACTTCGCTATTTGCTATCTAGTTAACTTGGTGGTTGATATCTAATTCCTTTTCTATGATTTTTCCTTGAGACCCAGAACAAAACGATATTTTTAGGTATAGTTTTTGTCGCAAATCTAACACTGAAATTGGAGGTTCATATTTTTGTTTTCTGAAAAGTTCATCCGGATGAGCCTATTACAAAATGGAAAGTCTGTTCCTTTTCCCATGCATTTTAAATTGTCGAACATATTTTGATTTATCATTTGCTTCAGTCTGTCAAGTCCTTTAGATATTGACTATGAAGTAATTTATGTTGGCATGTCGTTGATAACTTGATATAATCAAATTTGTGGCTAGGGTTCTCAATTAAGCAGTTCTATGATTATGAAAGTATTCATTTTCTTTATGTTTTAACAATTTTATGATGACAATATGATTCGTATATGTTTCATCACCTTGGCTTTTTCCTCCTATTTATCGAAGTTTATGGTTGTTCTTTGTCAAGTGGAATTAGCTAGACTCTGTTTGAAGCTTCTATTGTTGGTTCTTTCAGGGAATTGAAATGCTTTCTCTTGGATCATTTAAGACTGGTGCCATTCTCTTGGTAAGAAGTGGACTTGCGGTTTTATTTGGTTATTCATGGGAAGTGTTTATTCCATGTTAGTGAGACGAGTTAGCTTCATAATTTATTTATTTATTTTAACAAGTGTAGCAATATTTGTTGAAAATACATACCACCGAAAGTGCCCAGCAAGTTGGCATGAATAGTCAAACAATATTAATGCATCGAAAGTTTGTTTGATTTTTAGTTGAATTCGGATAATGGTAAAATCTCAATTTTAGTCATTGTAATTTAGGGTATTTACAAATTAGTCCTTAAGCTTCAACTATAAATATTATAGCTCATTTAGCTTCAAAATCATCCTAAAGCATTCTAGCTTTCTTTCAATACCAGAGAGAATTTAGAAGTTTCTTGAGAGTTGTTTTCTCCTTTTTATCAAAAGAGAATTATCATTGTTTTCTCCTTGGTATATTGAGAGAAGTTGTAATTCCTATTTTCTCATAGTGAAAATTCTTCTACCGTTGCCCGTGGTTTTTACCTTATATTATTTAGGGGTTTTTCACGTAAATTTTGTGTCTCTTTTATCTTCATTTTTATTTTCTCAAATTATCAGTTGCGATTTTACTCTATCCGATAGCTGTCTTCCGCAACAATTGGTATCAGAGCCAGATTAGAGTGTGTAATATCTGCTTATTGTCTTTATGGTTGCCACCAAAAGGTAGATCCTCCAACATAAGAAAGTAAGAAATTATTACCCATTCTTTGAAGGTTCCAGAGAACTATTCATGATAGTGAAATAGTGGAAGCTATCCGTAAAAGAAGCTATGGCAATGAAATTTAATATTGAAAAATTCAATGGGAGAAATTTCTAATTATGAAAATTGAAGATGAAGGTCATCCTGAGGAAAGACGGTTGTCTAGC